GTTGCAGTTTACTGTAATTTTCATCTGTTTTTTTTTTTTTTTTTAATCATCAAACTTATTATACTTATCATTGAGAAATAACCATATTCAAGTGCAAATGACTGCCACGTTTAGTGGCCCACCTTAAGGTTATGATGTAATGTGCTTTTGTTGTAGACATATGATTGTTCCTAGTTATGATTTAGGCTTATGTCAAAAACTTAGCTAAGGCATGACGTGACAGAGGCATAACGCTATCATAAGTACCATCCCAGGCCTGCGTAACTGCCCTGGCTACTTTCCACTCCTGGCTGTCTGAAACAAACACAATCTTTTAAATCCTGTGATCCTCATTGTACCTGACCACCATCACACAGAAGGTTGTCAATGGCACACTCATTAATGTCATGACACTGCCGTCCGCTGTCATCCACCATGTAGCCAGAATTACAGATGCATCTGTAGCCTCCCTCTAGGTTCTCACAAGCTCCATTGCGGCAAATAGCAGGGTTCAGGGCACACTCATTGATGTCTGAGTAAGAAATGATGCTTTTCAAATTGCAAATATTACTGGGAAAATAAATCTATTTGACTGATATAAAAGCAGCTTTTTGATTAAAAAAAAATAAAAATCATTCATCAACGATGAGGCATATGCTTACCATCACCCTCGTGTGTGATGCCAAACCCATGAGGGCAAAGGCCAAGGAACTCCTGGGAACCAGGTTGTGGACAGGCTTGGCATGGTGTCCCCCAACCCATTGGCTGACCCAACACAACCGTACAGCAGCAACAGGCAGATTTTGTAGTGGGTGTTGTGGATGGATTAGAACACTGGCCATCACGATACATGGCATAACAGAAGTCCAATTTTGTATCTAGATGGATGAAAGTGATTTTCATGCATTAATATCAAAAAGGAAAATAGAATCATGTGAATTATTGCTCCTCACAATGAAGTGAAGCATTAAAACATGTAATAAGATCTTGAAAAGTTATGCACATTATATTCTACCAACAAGTAATGCTTAACGAAACTTACCTAGGCATGTGACACCATTAACCCCAAGGGTGAAACCTGGTGGACAATCACACCTAAAACTCCCTTCAGTATTGATGCACTGACCATTTTTACAGGGCCCTGAGGCACACTCATCCATGTCTGGAAGATAATAAATACTTTAGCTGAGTAGTTTTATTCCAAGCTATGCAACTCACTTCAGAAAAATTTATAACAACTACTCATCTCAATACCATGTAGTCACAAAAAAAAATCAGAGAACTTACCAATACAAGTCTTCCCACTAGGAGACAAGGTGTATCCAGCATGACAGACGCACTTGAAGGATCCATCCATGTTAACACATGAGCCATGATCACACATGCCTGTCTCACCGCATTCGTCAACATCAGTGCAAAAGCTACCATCCTTGACATGTGTATAGCCATCATTGCATACACATCGATAACTGCCATCTAAATTCTCACAACGACCAAATAAGCAAATTCTTGGATTTTCCTCACATTCATCAATATCTGAAAATTGTTTGGACTATTATCAATTATAAGCTTAAGAAGTATGAATATTTCATGCTTTCTGAATACCAAAATTTATCATGTTATAGTTTATAAAGGTATCATGATCAGATGATTGAGGATATAATAGTTTATTTTGTACAGTTAGTAAAAATAATGTACACTACTAATCCTACTGATTCTCAAAGTAAAGCAGAAATCCTTACCTATACAAGCAAAGCCTGATGAAGATAAAATATATCCATCATTGCATATACATTTAAAAGATCCATCCATATTTGTGCAGACACCATTTGCACACATGCCTGTTTCACTGCATTCATCATGATCTGTCAAAAAGATTTAGAGTGATGAATCTCATTAACTTTGACTTTATGATTAGAACTAGAGCAAGTAAAAATATCAACAAATAAGGTATTAACTATACAAAACAGGAACTTTTCTATATAATAATTATGATTTTGTTCTATTTCAAGAAAAAAATGGGAATGTTAAAGAATATTTGCTCATTTGTGAATTTAATTTCAGCCAAAATACAACATACCAATACAGGTACGTCCATCTGAAGACAAGTCAAAACCAATAGGACAACGACATCTGAAGCTGCCAATGGTATTGTAACACTGGCCCCCACGACAAGCTCCTTCCCGGCACTCATCCACATCTGTTAATAAAACCCATAAATGAAAAAATACATATCTAGCGATGAAGACTCCCATAAACTACATACAATCACAACCATAAAAGGGATCAAGCTGGATTAAGCCTCACCAACACATCTGTCCGAAGCCTGCACATTGGTGAATCCATCGTAACACTGGCAGATGTAGCCACTGGCAGTATCAATGCAACGTCCTCCTTCACCACACTGACCAGGATTTAGAGTGCATTCATCCACGGGAGGCATAAGAGACCCTGGCTGCTCGCAGAGACGCTGGTACAACTCTGTGCATATAGGGAATGAAGAGTCATGTTTCAAGATAATATTTCTAAAGGAGAGTAATATAGACTAGGATAGATAAATCTGAACTATGGGAAAGATATGGATATGTATATAGAACTCAAAATTTTTTACTAATACTATCAATTTTCCCTTTCTGCTATTTAATAAATACTCAGTCATAATACTAACAATCACCGTCAGAATAATAAAGGAATAATAATAACTATAATAGATACTCAGTCATAATACTAACAATCACCGTCAGAATAATAAAGGAATAAAAATAACTATAATCGTTAACTAAGTCAAAATAACAATCATAATTCATCCTAACTACTATAATAGCTCTTACCTTCTCCTGGCATAGGACAAGGCACGCAGTCATTGCGGCCTTCACCCCAAGCCTTCCCCATATTCTTGCTGCAACAGCAAGCATGACGCGTAAGGGGTATGGCTAGTGGCTTTCTGCACCGATTATTGCTATTGATTTCCGTGTAGCAAAATCCTTGGCGTGCATCTATGTATATACAGGGATATATTATAAGTATGCTTGAATTATAATAAACATTTGCTAATGCTTTTTTGGAAAACACAAAAACAAAATGATGTTGATCTGAAGGATTTAAGAACTTTGAAAAACTTTTAAATTTTGTTTTTAGCTGAATAATAGGTGCCAACAACAACAATAATAATAATAATAATAATAATAATAATAATAATAATAATAATAATAATAAAAATACCCTTCTACTAACACTCTTTTTGTATGAAAGATGAAGTTCATATGTAATTAAAGTTCATATCAAAGATACCTCAGAGAGATTTGTTTACCAGGTTTTAACTTACCATTTCATCAAAATATCTTGCCTAAGTATGTGATGAAGAAAATATAATAAAAATTCATTATTGCTAATCATTTTCAAAATAATTGTCATTCTCACATATTACGGTTAGGGTCATCATTAGGGTTATAATCAAGCCAGAAATTATGCATTTCTTCTGAATACCAAATAGTTTTTGCAAAAGTTGACTAATACCAGACTTATGAATTAATATAACAATAAGAACAAACAAACAAAACATGTTAATATTTTCAAATGGTTCATCATATTAAAGAATAATATTTATTACAAAAGATTCCAATAATTCACTTCTAAAAATGTGCAAGGAAACTTACCAATACATTTTTTACGATCCTGACTAGGAATGAAGCCTGTATTGCAGCTGCAATAGAAACTCCCATCTGTATTAACACAATGACCATTCTCACATTGGTCTCCCTCAGCACATTCATCTCGGTCTTCACAGGCATTGGTCTCTGGGTTTCTTGCCTGTCCTTCTGGACACTCACAGGTAAAAGACCCTATGCTGTTGACACAAATACCTCCTTCACACAAGCCTGGAATGGCTTCACATTCATCTATGTCTGTGGGGTTAAAAGAAAAGAAAATAATTATTTCTATTTCAAAACACTTTTTAAAGTTAACCAATACATCATTTTACTCATGAGAAACATTTATCTTAGAACAAATTTGTTCTACTTATATGCAAATTCATCAATAATCTATCTTAATATCTATTGCAGATTAGTCTAACCACATATATATTCATTTACTTGTATATTCAGGTTTTACCACAATATCTGAAATTCCCAAAACATAATTTCTCGTAACTTGTATCAAGAAATACTATAAAGTTCATCACACACACCATATTGTTAAACCACTCACCAACACAGTCTCCACTGTGAATGTTTTTCAGGAAACCCTTATTACAATCAAGTCTTGATGGGCAGTGTTCACAGGGGTGTCCCCATGCTTTGCCTATTGTAGCACAGCACAACTGCTTGGTACAAACGACTCCAGGCAGCTGGCCCTGGCACATGTCATGCTGAACTTTGGTAAAGCAAGGGCCAGTACGGTAATCTGGAAAATGTAACTTTGATGCATTCATTCTCATTTGATCAAGCCTTAAAGACATGAAGAAAGAAATGAATAGACTTCAAAATGAATCTTCTATGGAACATGTAATTCAAGGACATGTATCTTTATGAGCAAAGTCAGAAAAGTATCAAGGCTCACCTGCTTCACATCTACGGCCAGTAAATCCGTATACACAGGCACACCGATCTGGGCCCACACACTTTCCACCATTAAGGCATGGCTCATGACACACAGCTGTGAAATATAGAAATTTTTAACTATCAAACTACTTGCTACCAAATGAAGTTGTATCTTAAAGTGGAATACCTATTTTTTGTAATATACACTATAAACAAAACTCTCATACTGCAAATTTTGTACCTCATGGTAAACAAAGAGAATAGGTGACAAATTGGTATTTGCTATGTACTGTCCATCTGGGAAAGTTGCAAGACCTTGTGGCAAAGTCATAAAGAATCATTAATGAGTGTTCCTTTTAAAACCCATACTAACTTCACTAAATTAACTTTGGGATATATGTTAATACTTAGTATATCACAATAGGTATCATAGTAAATACATATTAGCAAAGACCAAGTCTGAAAACTAAGGAGCAAAGGTATGACAGCTTTGGATACATACATCATTACAAGTTACAAGTTACAGAGCACGCAGAGCTTCCAGGTGTAACAAGCATCTAAGAGGAAAATCAGGTTAGACTACAACAATTATGGTTGAAAGATTAAACTGTTATGGTCACTGTCTGATTCTAGCAAGTATGCACTGTTTAACAGTTCAATGATACATGAAGAAGTTTGAAATAGTCTCGAAAGTCTACTCATTATAAATGCCATATATAAAAATAAAAATAATTTAGTATATCTGATGGTGTTTTATAACCTGAACAAGGTACGGTTTTGTTTTTGTATATGGAATGCATGGAAAAAAGCACAAAAATACATACAATGATACATACGCATACACACACAAATGCACCCACACCCACACCCACATCCATCCCCCACCCCCACACACGCACGCACGCACCTCCCCCGCCCCCCACACACACATACACACATACATGCATGCACACACTCAGATGCATGCACGCACACATGTACATACACATTTGCATATGCACATATTGTAAATAAAGACAAAAACACAAACAAACACATGCACTATTGCATAACCACATATTGTCAATAAAACAACAAAGGATAAAAAGGAAAGCACATATATGCTGAAGGCCTTTTTACTTTAGTTATTTCAGAGCATGAGAAGAAGCTAGAAGGACTTTCGTTTATTTTACTTTTTTCTCTCTCTCTCTTCTATTTGTTATTTTATTCAAAACATATTCAGCATGAAATCTGCATATGCACTCACCCACACACATGCTTACAGACTAGTTGCATTTAAAACTAACTATAACCTATAAATATTTACTAGTTTCTCCTTCTCTGATATACTTCTATGATCTTATGTCATGAACATTCGAAGCCTTCTCTCTCCAGATATCTTGTACTACATTTCTGTTAGCACAATACCAAGGCCTGTTTTTTATGTCTTGCTACTGCAGATTTCTAATATACACCACAATTTTTTTTTAGCAACATCACTTCTTTTATTCATAAGACTTATGAGAGGACAGTTTATACAGCTCCACTAATTTTGTTCAATTCCTAATCTATTTTGGTTATATCTAATTTGAGCTATGGCTTTCAGGGACTACATATGGTGCTTCATAATAGCTTCAAAGGCCATCACTGAAATTAATGGAATTCATAATTTTTGCTTAAAAGATCACAGACAATGCAAATTGTTAATTTGCAATCAGTAATAACAATATTTGATACCACTGGCATTGTTTAATTTGCTTTGCACTTACCAAAATTTTCTTCCCATATAGTTATTTCTATACCTTCCATAACTAAAAACTGGTAAGTAATAAAACTGTCCTGTCCAGAAGGGAATGAACATGTAAAGAAATATCATGAAAAAATATGTCTATGCAGGAGATACCATATAAAAATACTCAAAACTGTGTGAACTGATACACAAACACAAAGTTAGGGTGGCTTTCTGATAGATGAAGCATCCACAGTACTACAAATCTTTGTTATTGTACTGTGACTTTTGACACAGACTATCTCAAAATATTATCATCTCTTTTCTTTATTAACAGTTACTTAATAACCAATTTGTCCATTAAATTTGGTCAAACTCTGATGAAAATTATTAGCATTATGACTATAATGCAAGTTCTGGCCGAGACCATTAAAACAAAAGCATCTAACTGTTTTATGTGAGTTAATGTCTGGAGTTATAGTAGATCCACCTTACTACATGCAAGAGGTGTATTTAAACTTTAATCAAGAGTGTAAGATTTAAAATGAAACAAGAAGATGTGTCAGTTCAAGGACAAAAGCCAGCCAACTTGATTAAAGATAACCTATTCAGTTGAATAACATAGGACAGTCAAGTGTACTGCAAAAGTAACACCAATAACAATAAGCAGTAAAATAAGAGTAACACACAATATATCAAAAGGATCCCAGTACAATGGACAACAGTATAAAAAAGTCACTGTCCTAATTACAATACCTCCAATTAAACCATTAACCAGGACACTGGAGAATTGCTCATTTCAGGCTTAAAATGTAGAAAACTCCAAAATCACTTATCTTTTTTTATCAAGGACCTAAGATCTACTAGACTTCTTGCAATTATCATGAAAACATGGCAACCAGATATAGTACCTAAGGTTCAGTTTATTTATAGGTTTCTCTTACAATGAAACCTATGTCAGCTAGTTTTTTTTAATTATGTGAATTGCTTTATCGCTTATGTAGTCACAGTAAACAAAAGAAATTTACATTTATAAAAAGTTTCAATGAATTTTTTAATATGAGCACTACACACTTGACATCATATTTTGATAACATGTCTATAGAGCCAATTACATGATGCCCTTGAACAACTAAACATCAGCACCTGCAATCATCAATCACAATCTCAAGGATAAAGATTATGGAAAGTACTGTACCTTAACATCAACTATACTAGTTATGCTCAGGTCATGGAAGAAGCTGGTAGGAAACATGACATAGCATCTGGATT